TATTCTCTTCTATTTATCTATTCTCTTTTATTTATTCTATTTATTCTTTATTTATTCTCTTTATTCTCTTCTATTTATTTACTTTATTTAACTTATATTTTATATCTTAATTATTTTAATTAATATCTTAATATATCTAGATTAAGTCTTAAAAAGTCTAATATAGAATTAAGGATCTTTTATTAATTTAAGGAGTAAAGTATCTATATCGCTACTTTACTTATATTTATATTATTACTTCGCTTATATCTCTATTATTATCTTACTTATATCTATATTACTCTTTTACTTATACTTATCCTACTATTTCGCTTATATCTATACCGCTATTTCACTTATATCTACACTGCTATTTCGCTTATCCCTATACCGCTATTTCGCTTATACCTACACCGCTATCTCGCTTATATCTACACCGCTACCTCGCTAATACCTACGCTCTCTTCGAAATTCTCGTCCTATTATCTAATATCTATCTCTACCTAATCCCTCTCATATAGAACGTAGCTCTCCTCTTTAAAAATGAGTTCTCTCTCGAAAAATCTAAAGAGAACTCTAATATTGAAAGTTTAACCTATGAAGATACTGAGGATGGTGGACACACTTAACCTCTACCAATACACTACCCTCTCACGCGAGTCATTTTTATCGACCCCCTCTTCGCCGGTAACGATCCTAAACCCGCCTTTTCTGGTCTACTCCTCGGATTTATCTATTATTCTATGCTCAGAGTGTCAAGAGGCCCTCTCAGGCAAGACGAGCCTTCTCAAACACCTTAGTCACCCACCCCATCAACAGTACTGGAAAGACCTGGAAAAACCGAGCCGCGCATCGATTATCTCGACCCTCCAATCGTATAAAACGATCTCATACCATAATATCCCCTTAATCGAGCCTAATGTCTACTATTTCGACCAGCTCCCCGTCATCTTCGATACCTACCACTGTCCGGACTGCCCCTACTTTACTCTAGACGGGAAGAAGGCTCGACAGCACCGAATCCACACTCATAATATTCGATGGGATAGTAAGACAAAACGAACTGATATTATCTATCATCTCCCGGGCCAGGTCCTCTTTCCAAGGAGTAATCGAGGCTTATTTATTCCGAAGCTACCCTCGTTAATATCGCACACTCCTGAGACACCACTACCAAACCTCCAGCGCCATCAACACTCGATATTACCCACTCCAGCCTCGAATTTCCCGAACGAGGACCTCGAGATGAGAGATGCCTTGTCAAACTACCTAGAAAAGGAACAACGAGCCCTCTCGAAAATATCGTCCTCGAAAAACCTGACCTCGAAAAACAAGAGTGCATTCCTTCGAAATTCCCGATTTGAGATCTTCCACGAGAATAAGGATGTCCCACTACTCCTTGAGCTGATCACCGCGATAAATACGGAGACACCCTCGGAGACATCGACTCTCCATACGATAATAACGAGGCTCCAGTCAAAAATCTCGAATCTGATTCCACGACTGATTCGGTCTGTGCGTCTAGAGCTAAAGGAAGAGGAGGTTAGCCACTTCACCACATTTACAAAGGACTTTATCGAGCTTGAGCTCACAACACAGAGAGGATACTTCGCACTCTTCGGGGATCTCTTCGTTTTTCTCGTCCGTCTCCTAGAGTATAAAGAGCGAGAAGAGCCGGATGGGAATTATGACTACCTACAGAGTATTCACCTCTCGACCACTCTCGTGGATCATCTTCATGACCTTCAACGCGGATTATACGGCTTATTACTCGAGATATTCGAGGAACATAACGAGCAGAGCCTCCAAAATCTCGAGGCACTCGTCGTCGATATCGTTATGGACCTCTTACGCACTGAGGTTAAGTTTGAGACTACCCTAGAGTATACTACCTTCCGAAACCCAGTGATACTCTTTCTTGTCCTGCAGTCGATAAATCCGAGTGACCAGTCGTTTAAATCGGAGTCGGTGATTTCGAAGATGACCTCAAAGATCATCTACGCCTCCCGCCTCTTCCTCCTTGGCTCGATCTGGACGAAGGAGCTCCAGCAAAATCAGAATCCAGACTCGTTATTTGATGTGGCGGAGTATTATCGGACGAATCTTCCGTGGGTGACGGTATCTCATGGCCATAACTACTTTGAGGAGGTCGGACGGATTCGAAGATATCTACTTAAGGCTCTGAAAGAACGAGTCTCGGAGAACAAGCCGATTATCGATCTAGGGCTGGATACCTACCTCGTCTACGAAAAAAAATATACATTCCGCGGAATTTGCGAGCTTCACCAGCGACTGGAGAAAGACCTGCTCGACCTTCTCTTTTCTCGACTGATCCTTCTTCCGCAACGAGACCTCCCTCGCCTAAATCTAGCCGATCTCGAAGACAACTCGTCCATCTCGACTGAAGGCTATTATTTGGCGGATAACCCCTCGTTTATTCCGACGAAGGAGTATATACGGCGTCAGCTTGTCGACCCGAACTCTCCGATCTATCGGTCGCTATTTTCGAAGGGTGCGTCGAACGGGACGAGGCACTGGCGCCGCACAACAATCGTCGAGTTCTTCCGGGCACGCCAGGCCTTTATAAAGCTCTTCCTGTTGGCCGCGCACCTGGCGAGCGGAAGCCCTCTACGAGGAACGGAGTGGGAGTATACGACCTATCGAAATATTCGAGGTACCGATAGTAATGTTCG